GTCCAATACAGGCAAATCTGTAAGATAGAAACTAGATCCACAGTTACCTAGAGCTGGAATGGATGGAAGATTGGGGAGGATGGCTATAGGGTACTAGGCTATTTTTGAAGTATGAAAATGTTCTAAAATTGATTGTGGTGATGAGCGTACAATTCTGTGAACACACTAAAAGCAACGAAAATGCACATTTTATGTGGGTGAATTTGTGATATATAAATCACATCACAGTAAAGATATTACAAAAAAAGAGCTAAAACTATAAAACTTCTATAAGAAAACATAAAAAATTTTTGTCCTTGGGTTAGGTAGATTTCTTAGAACACCAAAAAGGCATTAACCATAAATTAAAAAATCAATAAACTGAACTTCAGCAAAATTTTCTGGCTAATTTTTTCTTGTATTTTTAGTAGAGATGGGGTCTAGCTCTTCTTTAGACTGGTCTTGAACTCACGAGCTCAAGCAATCCACCCGCCTCAGTCTCCAAGAGTGCCAGGTTTACAGGCATGAGCCACTGAGCCTGGCCTAAAATATTCAACTTCTGTTCTTTGAAAGATAATTTTTTTTTTTGGTAGAGAAAGAGTCTTACTTTATTGCCCTCGGTAGAGTGCTGTGACATCACAGCTCACAGCAACCTCCAACTCCTGGTCTTAGGTGATTCTCTTGCCTCAGCCTCTCAAGTACCTGGGACCACAGTTGCCCGCCACAACACCCGGCTATTTTTTTGTTGCAGTTTGGCCAGGGCCAGGTTTGAACCCGCCACCCTTAGTATATGGGGCTGGCACCTTACCCACTGAGCCACAGGAGCTGCTCTGAAAGATAATTTTTTAAAAAAGGAAAAAGCAAGTTACAAACTAAGAGAAATACGTATAAAACATCTATCTGATAGGCTCGGCGCCTATAGCTCAACCAGCTAAGGCGCCAGCCACGTACACCTAAGGTGGCGGGTTCGAATCCCCAGCCCGGACCCGCCAAACAACAATGATGGCTGCAACCAAAAAATAGCCGGGCGTTGTGGCGGGCGCCTGTGGTCCCAGCTACTTGGGAGGCGGAGGCAGGAGACTCGCTTGAGCCCAGGAGTTGGAGGTTGCGGTGAGCTGTAATGCCACGGCACTCTGCCCAGGGGGACAGCTTGAGGCTCTGTCTCCAAAAAAAAAAAAAAAAACAACATCTATCTGATAAAGGACTTATGTCAAAAATATGTAAAGAACCCTTACAACAAAATAAGATAACTCAATTTTTTAAATGGGCAGAAAGGTTGAAGATACTTCACCAATAAAGATGAACGAATGGCTATTTTTTTTTTTTTTTTTTTTTTTTGAGACAGAGCCTCAAGCTCTCCCCCCGGGCAGAGTGCCGTGGCATTACAGCTCACAGCAACCTCCAACTCCTGGGCTCAAGCGAGTCTCTTGCCTCTGCCTCCCAAGTAGCTGAGACCACAGGCGCCCGCCACAACGCCCAGCTATTTTTTTGGTTGCAGCCGTCAGTGTTGTTTGGCGGCCTAGGGCTGGATTCGAACCTGCCACCTTAGGTGTACGTGGCTGGCGCCTTAGCCGGTTGAGCTATAGGCGCCGAGCCACGAATGGCTATTAATCACACAAAAATCAGCCTGTCATCATAAGTCATTAGGTAAATGCAAATTAAAACCAGAATGAGATACCACTATCCCCCATAAAAACAACTAGAGTTAAAATGACTGAAAATACCAAGTGTTCAAGAGGCTATGGAGTCACTGGAACTCTCTAGTGCAGATGAAAATGCAGAAATAGTACAGCCAGGCTGGGCATGGTGGCTCACACCTGTAATCCTAGCACTCTGGGAGGTTGAGGCAGGTGGATCGCTGGAGCTCACAGATTCAAGGCCAGCCTGAACAAAAAAGCAAGACCCCTATCTCAACTAAAAATAGAAAAACTGAGGCAAGAGAACTGCTTGAGCCCAAGAGTTGGAGATTGCTGTGAGCTAGAACATCACAGCATTCTACCCAGGGCAACAGCTTAAGACACTGTCTCAAAAAAAAAAAAAAAAAATAGTATAGCCACTTCGGAAAGTAGGTTAGCCATCTCCTATATGATTAAATTTACACTTATCATAAGACCCTGCAACTCTACCTCTACTCAAGAGAAACGAAAACTCATCTACATAAAGACATGTATACAGGCCAGGCATAGTGGCTCCCTTCTGTAATCCTGGCACTCTGAGAGGCTGAGGAAGATGGACTGTTTGAGTTCAGGAGTTTGAGACCAGGTTGAATAAGAGTGAGACCTCATCTCTACTAAAAATAGAAAAACTAGCTGGGTGTTGTGGCCAGAACCTGGAGTCCTAGCTATCAGGGAAGCTGAGGCAAGAGAATGGCTTGAGCCTGAGTTTGAGGTTGCTGTGAGCTGCAACACCACGGCACTCTGCCCAGGGTGACAAAGTGAGACTCTGTCTCAAAAGAAAAAAAGAAAAAAAAACCCTGTACATTAATATTAATTCATGGCAGCTTTATTAATAATAATCCCAAACTGGAAACAACTCAAAATGCTTAGTAATAAATAAATAATAGTAAATTGATACAATGGACTACTATTCAGTAATAAAAAGGAACAAATTATTAGTATATGCAACAATGAGTATCAATCTTAAAGGACTGTACCAAGTGAACACTGCCAGACGGAAAGTTCATGTTCAATGTGTTCATTAGATTGTCCAGAAAAGGCAAAATATAGTGACAGAAAGTTATCAGTGGTTGGCAAGGGTAGACAAAGGAACATGAAAGGCCTTTTGGGGGTAACGAGAATGTGGTGGTAGTGGTGGTTAAGACAGTGAACACTAGTTAAAACTCATAAAAGTAGACACTTAACATAGGTGAATGGTGGATGTTAATGTGGGTAAATTATACTCAGTAAAATTAATTTTTTTTTTTTGAGACAGAGTTTCAATATGTCACCCTCAGTAGAGTGACGTGGCGTCGCAGCTTGCAGCAACCTCAAACTCTTGAGCTTAAGCAAGTCTCTTGCCCCAGCCTCACAAGTAGCTGGGACTACAGGTGCCTGCCACAAAGCCCAGCTATTTTTTTGTTGCAGTTGTCACTGTTGTTTAGCTGGCCCGGGCTGGGTTTGAACCCGTCAGCCTCAGTGTATGTGGCTGGTGCCTAACCACTGAGCTATAGGCACTGCTAAAGTTGACTTTTTTTAAAAGGACAACTAATAGTTTCACTCCTTTTCTCAAGTTCCCAAAGTCTTAATTTCCAAAAGGTCTCAAAATCCAATATGCTCTACTCTGAGGACCTGACCTTGATTTCAATTCCTTACATGCCTTATGATTCAAAGCAAGCACTTTTGAAGTGTAAAACTCTACATTTTGTGTATGAATTCCAAGTCCATGATGATATATGACCTATGTGTATCATCTCCAGCTAAATTATAGATACAATCACAAATATTATTTAATCCTTTGCAATTTTTCAAGTTTCCTTGCTTTTCCCATCTTCTCACTAAAAACAATTTATCATAATTGTTTAGTAGCTCACTAATATGCAAGGTGATAAATCCCAGTTTCAAGAGATTACAACTTAGTCAGCAGGTCACTTTTAAACACCTGTAGTTTTTTTGCCAACATCTAATGGAACACACTACATTTTCTACAAAGAATAACAAACGTGGTGGCACCCATAGCTCAGTGGGTAGAACGCTGGACACATACACCCAGACTGACAAGTTGGAACCCAGCATGGGCCAGCTAAACAACAATGACAACTGCAACAAAAAAATAGCTGGGTATTGTAGCGGGCGCCTGTAGTCCCAGCTTACTTGGGAGTCTGAGGCAGGAGAATCGCTTAAGCCCAAGAGTTTGAGGTTGCTGTGAGCTGTGATGCCACTTCACTCGACCAAGGGCAACACAGTGAGACTGTCTAAAAAAAAAACATGTCTCACTAAATCAACACTCCCAAAATAATCAAAGTGAAATAAAACATTCAGCAACCAGGAGAAAAATTAAGAAGATTGGGCTATCTTAACTTTTAGTGGCAATTAGGCTTTACAGGATAAACAAAGGCCTTCAGGGAAGGGATGGCATGTGAATCTCTTGAAATTCAAGATGGACTTTCCTGCATATCTACAACAGTAATGGATGAGTAATGTGTGAAATAGCTCAAGGGAATCTCTTATAGAGTATAATTAAGACCTTAGGAATAACCAGGGTTAAGTATTCACACAGATATCTTCAAAGAAAATGAAAAAGAACAAGATGTGGAAAAGAGTATAGGGACATACAGGTTCTGAAATGGATAAACCTCTGTATTACTTGAATTATTTTAGAAGACATAATTTGTATTACCCAAATTATTTTAAAATTAATCTTGCTCGGTTTGGTACCCATAGCACAGTGGTTACAGTGCCAGCCACACACACCGAAGGTGGTGGGTTCGATCCCAGCCCAAGCCTGCTTAAACAACAATGACAATTGCAGCAACAACAACAAAAATAGCCAGGCATTGTGGCGGGCGCCTGTAGCCCCAGCTACTTAGGAGGTTGAGACAAGAAAATCGCTTAAGCCCAAGAGTTTGAGGTTGTTGTGAGCTGTGACATCACAGCACTCTACAAAGGGCAACACAGTGAGACTCTGTCTCAAAAAAAAAAAAATTAATCTTGTTCCACAGCTTCACAGAATCAATATGAGAGATTTCTACTAGCAAAGACACATGGCAATCAACAAAAGAACAAACAAAAGAGAAACTGAAACAAAAACTCACACATTTTCAACAGACCAGAATACAAACTTGAAACTGACCAGAAATAAAATGGAATTACATTTAAGCAGAAATAGGACTCTTCTTTATTACTGCAGTTCATCTCCTGCAATAAAGCAGCATCAAGGGTCTTTTATTTATATGTGAACCCATTTGCTTGGCAGACAAACTGACAAAGGTTGCAGTCTTTTACACAAGTGCTATATTTTCATAACGATAAGACTGAGGGAAACAAAAGCTAGATGTCTGAGGATTGACTTAGGCTGACACTCACCACAAACTTCTCACCATTCTGCTCCACATGTTTGTATGTGGGGACCGATATGGGCACTGCTTGCTTTTCTGTGTAATCATAGAATGACTGCCCCAGCGAGTCGTCACTGGGGTCTAGGTTATCTGCCTCGTGAGGAGGCACAGACAACACTGTCAAGATCAATTCCTTCTCGCCTGCTCGGATCAGGTCCACCACCTGCTTGTGTGTCGCCCCTTCAACATTCACGCCGTTCCTAAGGGGAAAAAGGGAAAAAGACAATCCCATAAACCAGAAGGGTCCAAACACCTTGTATCTCCACCCTCCGGCCCCCACTCCACAGTCACACAGTATGAACATAAAGTCAAAGATTAATCTGGTTCCAGAAAAGCTGCTTATGTTTTTACAGATCCTAATGTGAGTGAGCTTATGGCAGGGGGAAAAAATGGAAATAGGTGAGAAGACCTACCCTTTCTTTCCTAGAATCCCCCACACAGCTTCAGGAAAGCACATGGGAAAAGGGGAAAGCTGAGGAGGAAACAAAGCTTTTTAAGCTAAACAGTCCAATTTCCTCATCCTAAATAAGCATGTATACAATCAAAGTGGCTTTTCCCAATCCTCCCACTTGAACTGTACTCTTTGTCCTTTTGAAACCTCATGGGAAGTCTGTTAAAAGAAACTTCATGGCCTGGCACGGTGGATCATGCCTATAATCCTAGTAGTCTGGGAGGCCGAGGCAGGTAGATTGCCTGAGCTCATGAGTTCGAGACCAACCTGAGCCAGAGTGAGACCCTGTCTCTAAAAATAGCTGGGGGTCATTGTGGGCATCTGTAGTCCCAGCTACTTGGGAGGCTGAGGCAAGAAGATCGCTTACGCCCAAGAGTTTGAGGTTGCTGTGAGCTGTGACATCACAGCACTCTACAGAGGGTGACAAAGTGAGACTCTGTCTCAAAAAAAAAAAACTTCACAAAATGCATTGGCTTAATTCGCAAACAGAGACTCAAAAGAAGTTGTGACTCAAGATAATTCCTTTATATCTAATTTCTCCTCATATTCTCAAATTAGTCAACTTAATGTTCCTTTATACCAAGTTTCATTACTTTGGAAATTAAATGGTATTAGTCAGGGCTGGGTTCGGTGGCTCATGCCGATAATCCCAGCACTCTGGGAGGCCAAGGCATGCGATTGCCTGAGCTCACTGGATGGAGACCAGCCTGAGCAAGAGCAAGACCCTGTCCCTAAAAGTAGCCAGGTGTTGTGGCAGGCACCTGTCGTCCCAGCTACTCAGGAGACTAAGGCAAGAGAATCACTTAAGGTCAGAGTTTAAGGTTGCTGTGAGCTGTGATGCCATAGCACTCTATGGGGGGTGAGAAAGTAAAACTCTGTCTCAAAAATAAATAAATAAATGATATTAATCTTTACCCACACTAGTTTCTTCTATCAGTTATTTTTTTTTAAATGATTTCCTCTCTAAAATCTCATTATCTGACCTAACTTCTTTTCTTCCAATCACTTCAATTAACCATTTCAAGATTCTACTTTTGGCTCAGTGCCTGTGGCTCAAATGGCTAAGGCGCCAGCCACATACACCTAAGGTGGCGGGTTTGAATCCAGCCCAGGCCCACCAAACAACAATGATGGCTGCAACCAAAAGAAAAAATAGCCAGGAGTTGTGGTGGGCGCCTGTGGTCCCAGCAACTTGGGAGGTGGAGGCAGGAGACTCGCTTGAGCACAGGAGTTGGAGGTTGCTGTGAGTTGTGATGCCACAGCACTCTACCCAGGGGGACAGCTTGAGGCTCTGTCTCAAAAAAAAAAAAAAAGATTCTACTTTTTCCTGCTCTGTGCTGCCTCACTTAAAGCCCTACGTGATTAGGTTAATCTAAAACACATAAACCAAAGGTTATATAGTAAATCGACCTACACATTTTCCCTACCTATTTTACTGTGTATAAAAAGCTGAAATAAGGAAAGCCCCAAGGTGTAGATGAACGATAATTTTGTCAAGAAAGATGCTGAGTTTCACAAAACTCACTCGGCAAACAGACCCACCATCCCAAAATGCTGACCCAGACTGCTGTTTCAGCAAAAACTACTGGACAGCTGTCCTACCTCCCATGGCCAACCCAAGAGTTAGGAAATAAACACCTGGCCACTAATCAATTTAATATTTAAAGTTTATTTATTTTTCAGTCTTGTTCCAAATCATTAAGGTTTTCCTTCCCAAAAATGACACTAACTTTACTTACAAGCCTTCCATAAACTTTTCAGTCACTAAAATTGTCTGTCTGAAAAATCATTTATATAAACAAAACAGGCAGGAGATCACCCAGCTAGCCTCTTTTCTTAGTTAGGATCTTTAGGATTTAACAATCTAGCCAGTAAATTCAGCACTCTTTCCACTTCATAACTTAAAAGTGTAATATATACCAAAAAACCCCAAACAATTAATTTTACAACAAGCGAACTATAGAAGAAAACAAAGAACATTCTCCACTGGTGGAAATTTAGCCTTTTTATTCAGATTAGTCAGACTCTGTCTAAAAAAAAAGGAATATGTAGTCTCCAAAAAGACTCAGAACTGGCTCAGCGCCTGTGGCTCAAGCGGCTAAGGCGCCAACCACATACACCTAAGGTGGCGGGTTCAAATCCCCAGCCCGGGCCCGCCAAACAATAATGATGGCTACAACCAAAAAATCGCCGGGTGCTGTGGTGGGCGCCTGTAGTCCCAGCTACTTGGGAGCCTGAGGCAGGAGACTCGCTTGAGCCCAGGAGTTGGAGGTTGCTGTGAGCATGATACCATGGCACTCTACCCAGGGGGACAGCTTGAGGCTCCATCTCAAAAAAAAAAAAAGACTCAGAACTATTGCTTTCAATACATGCCTCCACCCACTGAGGGTTTTTTGTTTGTTTTTTTGTTTGTCTGAGACAGAGTCTCACTCTGTTGCCCAGGCTAGAATGCCATAGTATCAGGCAAACTCACAGTAACCTCAAACTCATGGGCTCAAACTATATTCCTGTTCCAGCCTCCTGAGTAACTGGGACTACAGCACTCCATGAAGTCCGGCTAATTTTTCCACTTTTACTATGTAGGCTATATATTTATTTATTTATTTATTTAGACAAGAGTCTCACTTGGGTTACCCTGGGTAGAATGCCATACCTTCATGATAGATCACAGCAACCACAAACTCCTGGGCTCAAGCAATCCTTCTGCCTCAGTTTTTCTATTTGTAGTAGAGATGGGGTCAAATTCCTAAGCTCCAGCAATCCTCCTGCCTGGGCCTCTCAGAGCAATAGTTATAGGTCTGAGCCACCATGTCTGGCCCACCCAGTTTTCAAATCAATGCTACTTGGGTCACTCTCAAAAATAATCCCTGAAGCTGGGCACAGTGGCTTACACCTTAGCTCAGGAGTTCAGGACCACCCTGAGGAAGAGCTAGACCATCTCTAGCAAAAGTAGAAAAACTAGCTGGGCTGGGTAGCAGGCACCATAGTCCTAGCTACTTAGGAGGCTGAAGCAGGAGGCTCTTGAATCCAAGAATTTGAGGTTGCTGCAAGCTACAATGATGCCAGGGCACTCTACCAGGGTGACAGAGTGAGACTGTGTCTCAAAGGGAAAAAAAAAAGGCCTTGAGAATTGCCAGAAGAACTTCAGGGAGGCTTACACCAAGAGCAGCTAGGAAGCAAGGACACTTGCTGAGGTTTTATTTCTGTATTATTATAGTAAGACCAAGCTTCAAATAGGCTATCATCCCCAAAACAATGAGTCTCTCTTTATCACCCTTGGTAGAGTGCCATGGCATCACACAGCTCACAGAAACCTCCAACTCCTGGGCTTAAGCGATTCTCTTGCCTCGGCCTCCCAAGTAGCTGGGAGTACAGGCGCCTGCCACAATGCCTGGCTATTTTTTGGTTGCAGTTTGGCCGAGGCCGGGTTTGAACCCACCACCCTCGGTATATGGGGCTGGCACCCTACCCACTGAGCCACAGGCGCTGCCCCCTAAAACTTCTTTAAAAAAGAAAGATGAAAAAACTTCCAGAGCCATATCCTAAACACACTTGCTATTATTTATCTGGTTCAGCTACAGAAAGAATGCTATATATTCCACAACTTAATACAAAGCGGGAAATTCCTTCATTCTTCAGAGAATGAAATGAGGTCAGTAAAAATCCCAGGATGTCTGATTCAGAAAAAGAGCCCCCCTTCCACAAGAATTAAGAGGTCTTCACTGTCATAACAAGGTTTGCATGATACACTCCTTCCCACAAGAATGCTATTGTACGCGTACTAGGCTCAAATTAGGTGTAGCTCAATAGTTTGTACAAATCTGACATAAATAAATGCAAAATATGAATTTACAACAAAAGGAAAACTTTCAGTAGTACAGAGTTTGGGTTCAAAGCATGACTTTGAGAGTCAAACAGGCATGGGTTTGAATACCAACTGTACCATTTAACAGATGAGACCTTACATAAATTACTCCATCTAAGCCTCAATTTTCTAACCCATAAGATGGAGCTAATGGAATTGTTATGACAACTAAAATGAGATAAAGCTCTAGTCCAGAACAGGGCAACAAACTCATAAATGATAGCTATTTGTGTTGTAGTCTTTATAACAACTGGGCCAACAGGCTGGTAGTATTTTGGCCTCCCCGATGATGTAAATCCTTTCTACCACCAATTTCCCTTGCCTTTCTTCTGTCTTTGTGACATAATCTAGTTGGAATTCATTTGAAAGTAAACTCTTCAATCAACGATAATGGGGTTCAAGATAGCCACCTTCACAAAACCACTGCATCAGGGAACCGCTAAGTCCTCTATTGCACAAAAAAGTACCTACTGCCCAATAGAGCCTACCAATCTATGCTTCCTCCATAAAGAAAGGTCATAGCTTAAATACACTATTGAAAAAATTCATCAGAGGCTCGGCACCTGTAGTTCAGTGAGTAGGGTGCCAACCACATAACACTGAGGCTAGTGGGTTTGAGCCCAGCCCGGGCCTACTAAACAACAATGACAACTGCAACCAAAAAAGAGCCAGGCATTGTGGTCAGCGCCTGTAGTCCCTGCTACTTGGGAGGCTGAGGCAAGAGAATCGCTTAAGCTCAAAAGTTTGAGGTTGCTGTAAGCTGTGATGCCATAGCATGCTACCAAGGGCAACATAATAGAAAAAAATAAAATAAAAAAAGAAAGAAAAAAAAATTCAACAGATATGTGATTAAGCAAATAAACAAATGTCAATTATAGAACCCA